GCAAGCGCATATTAACTTTCTCGCATCATCCGAGAGAAGGGAAACTTATTGGGAACGATTGAGCTTCCATCTGTTCCAAGTTATGCAGATACACATCCTGATTAACTGCTTCCAATGGATGATAGTTCCCCTTATCGAGGATGCCACGCAACTTGTTGATCCAACACAGGAGTAGAAGCTCGGTGCAATGATCGTGCAACAAAACTATCGAAATATAAACAAATTTTGACGTTAAACTTTTTCCAGGCACCATTAATGCCGTCATAAAACTAAACGGAATATGATAAAGCAAAATGGCCTTAGATAAATACAATTTAGTCTGCAAATTATCTTCATTAAAGTCAAATTAAAACGTTTTGTATTTGTAAGCGAGTTCATGAAAGCAAAATAGCTTTTTCACAATTAGCCTTCGGAAAATCAATTTTTATGCCACCGCCATATTGCTATTATTACATTTATTTTTTACTATCTTCGTTTTTCAAGATGTTTTTCCATGAAAATAACTTCAATCTCATAAATTCATCACTGAGCAGCAATAGAGATTCCGAAAATCATTAAATTATCTCGGCTGGACGCAATGATTAATATAAAACATAACTATACGTTGTTTTCTAAATTAAAAATAATGAGTAAAACCAACAATTTCCGAAGGCAGACCTATTTTTTGCGATCTTTCGAAGAACATTTCACATTAGATTTAATCTGTCACCTAAAAATAGACCACATAATGAGAACAGCTTTAATATTTTGGTAATTCTTTCACATTAGATGAGGAAATTTAAGAAGATTTTTGAAAGATTCATTTTTGAACAATGAATTTGACAAGATCTGATGATATTTATGTATCCTTTTTTATCTTGATTCATGCTTTATTTTCATAAGGATTTCAAATGGCTTTCAATGCTTTCGCCGTGTACCCTTTTTGCAGCAAATCAATCTTGAAGTGCCTCGAAAATATGCCCTTCAAAACCTTCTTCGGGGTGGGCCAACTAGACAGATTCTAGTCTTAATGAGGTTTTGGTGGATGTAATAACTAGGCAAAGCTGTCTTGACCAGGGTTTTATGAATGTTGTTTTATAGTAGCCTTGTAGTATTTCATAAAACGTAAAATGTTACTTGGGTAGTTTCCCCTCCAGAATCGTAGCAATAAGATTTTCTTTCGACATCAGTGAGTACTTAGTAACAAAGTGCTTCCCTGATAACATAGACAATTTTCGATCATGTATCAAGAATTTTTTCCCCTTTTCGTGCGCCAAGCATATTAATGTTTCCTGCTGAGCAGTTGATGGAGCATGTTAGAAGAATATCATCTTCGTAATTGATTACTAATTATCCTGAAGTTCCATTAAAATGAGATCATTAGCAAAGTTGTAGCTGATATAATTTTAGTTACGAACACAAAGCAGGATCATTCGTAAATTATTATGGCGAAAGGCTAAGAGGAAAAAAGTTAATTTTCCCATTGTAATTCTCATATAAGCTTCAAAGCCAGTGCAGTATGACATCGCAACCAAATGAGCACAAATTTAGGTAGAACAGTTAGGATATGAATTAGAATCGATTGAAGTTGGTGGAGCAAAATAGATATTTTGAACCACCCTTATGTGTAGGTTTATATATTTACAATAAAATGAAACCAACCAAGTGGTGTTACAGCAGTCTGCATTTATTAGTTTCAAAACTGTGCCTTTTAAAGATGGGATGCAGTGCAAGTGTAAACATTTTACTAAAAATTTATGGTTTACGATTTTGGTCAATTTTGTCCGTTGTTCTATTTTTGAAAAGATGCAATTTTTTATGAGATTTCAAATAAAAATCAGTTTAAAAATCTCATCAATATACTTTTTTATTATTAAAGTTTTAAACTGTTTTATTTTTTATTTTTGATGAAAATATTTGAGTATTTTTTCAATGTGTAAATTTTTTTAAAAGACATTGCAGATTCTCACTAATTGCATCCGACGTCCCTTTGATTAGATGAGCCGTTTTCGTGCTTTGAATTATCGAAACACATACAATCGGAAGCTACAGTTTCCATAGAGATGATTTTGATATTGGATGAGCATCACCTCTTTCAAGCTAACACATGGAGCGGATCGCTTCAAACGTCCCCACACGCTACTAACTGTATCATGATAATTAAAGAAAATAATTCAACAGAATTTATAAGAAACATATGGAGAATTTGAGTAATTTGAGTAAATTCTCACGTGAATTATAAAAAAATATCGAAGAGATCTACTGAGATCCAATGTTTGTTTTAAGTAACGGTGGCAGGCATGGAAAATCATTTGCATTCATTTCGTGCATTCATTTACATTCATTTGCTTCTAACTTTTTTCATTAACAGCACTCCGCAAAATGATGTAAATAGCTTTGTAGGTTTTGTTATTAGCTACAACTTTTGTTAACAAGTCAAATCCATATATCTGATGTATGACGAACCAGAGCGAACAGAAGCCACTACTGTTTTTCAGTGAATGTAATTTACATTCACTGAAAAACAGTAACAAGTTCTGCCAGCTCTAGTTCGTGATGCATAAGAGATACAGATTTGAGTTATGAGCAATTGTTGTAGCTAACAACAAAACCTAAAAAAGCATCATTTTGCGGAATGCTGTTGATGAAAAAAGTTAGAGGCAAATGAATGTAAATGATTGTATGAAATGAATGTAAATGATTTTCCATGCCTGAACGGTGGTAAAAATTTCAAGGTAATACCGTAATGCACCGAATACCGGGGCCTCCCTTAGTCCAGTCGGTAAAAGCGCAGACTACAATTGAGTAGAAATTTAGCTTATTAGGTTAGTTATGCATCAAGAAATAACCGTTTCAAAAAATATATACCAAAAAGAGAAGAGCAATTCAAACGTGCACTCTTTTGCCTGACGATTTGAGGAAATACCTCAAAACCGCTCACCTATCAAGTGAGCTAGGTAAAGGAGTGCGCATTTGATTAGTATTGTCGCATTAACGGCCCTTCGCCTAGTTTCAACTTCTGTCCAATGTTCGCACTGCCATACTCTAACGGAGAACTATGAATATATTCTCTTCATACATTTCTCTAGCAAGTAAATTATCGCACTAAAAGCTTCATGTTGATATCAGTAAAGCATTTCCTTCCAACTCCGCAAAAATAGGTGGTTTATTAAATTTGCTCAAAGTTCATACATATTCTGTCAATCAAGCTCATAATATGCTTCTAATAAGTCTTGGAATCTTGCCATCCAGCTGCCAAGATTTCACAAAATTTCATTTACATTCAAAAAAGTCACCGTTCTTTGAACTTTTTAAGAGGAAAATTGCGAATTGCATCGTGCGATAACTCAAATCACACACACAAATGACATAATGATAAGTGCAAGTATTTATATTGATTTTCCTTAACTTATAACTTACCTGATCCTTTGAAAAAGTTCGTTATGGGGTTTCCTCTCGGGTTCCCTTTGATTTTCCTCGATTTTTTCCACATGTTTACAACTCTTATTCATGTACAAAACAGTGAAAATGGCTGCTTCGTTCAGGACTAAAACTGCATCCGGGGGTGGGTGTTCTCGAATAAAAAGATGGAATAGGATGGAAACAATATACTACATTATACTACACTATACTATAGACACTCAAGTTATAGATCGGCCAACGTGAGTTGACGTTCGTTTTGGATACAACATGGCAGCACATTGACATGTCTATAACTATGACCGTCTATAGACTTCTCTGACGTTTATGAATTGCACAAGTATTAGTGCAGAACTTTGGGTGAATTCAAAGGTTTTCTTGCACTAATACTTATAATTTACCCCAAGTTCTGCACTAATACTTGTGCATTTCTCAAATGTCAGAGAAGTCTATAACAGTGACAGCTCGTTCATGTGGTGGATTTGAAAACGCGCGAATTTCTAATACGTGTTGCAAAATGCATCGCACGTATAATTCAATTAAAGATGTAAAACAGTGTGACCAAATACATTTTAAAATTTTCCCTTTTTTACAAAAGTCTGTTAATATCTGTATAAAACCAAAAAGTCTGTAAATGTCTGTATCGAAAAAAATGTCTGTGAAAAAAAATAAAAGTCTGTAAATTCACAGACATGTCTGTAAATCTGGCATCTCTGCTCAGCATGGAAAACAAGATCGATGGAAAACAAATCAAGAAAAAAAAATGTATGGGAAACGGAATAAAATTATTCATTTGCTTGACAAGATGACAAAATTGCTCAATTTTCACCAAACCTTGAACTTGATAACAGAACAACTTCGTCAAAGGCCGCACATCGATTCGACTTCCGTGCTACAAGCTTATATGCACGCCAATATGTATGCGCGGTGCACATGGGCATAAATAAAAAAAAATAACTTTTTGCCTAGAAGTCGAATGAATTTGCTATCCTGAACGAAGATGTTTTCTTTAGTTTTCTCAATCTAAGTCCCAGGTTTGGTAAAAGTTTGGCGATTTATGAATTTTTGAGAAGCAATTGAACAATTTCGGACCGTTTCCCTTACGTTTTCTAATACAAATTTTAAAGCTCTCCCGCAAATCCAGATCGTAACCAAATTCGTTAAAATTTGGCACAGTTGGTGGGGACCTCAAAATACGAATCGAAAGAGCTATGGGGGGAGCAGGGGGTTGTTATGTTGACCCACTCTACTGTACAATCTTCCAATGAATTATTAAAATTTCCATTGGATCTCATGCTTCCATTAGCCACTGCAAACTTCCATAACCGTTCAAACTTTGGCTGAAAATTAACCAAACAAAATCTATAATTCATTCTCTGCGCGACGAAGAATTGCAACGAGCAAGTTTCCCTATGGAAATTGAATCAGCTGAAAAGTCTCGTTATTTAACTCTCTCATAAAAGCATCCCCATCACCCCGTCATCACCGTTTTCCCCATCCGATATGTAGGTACCTACATCGCGCATAAACCCATTGTGTCTTCGTAGCAAACTCAAACTTTTCCGTTGTGCTGTTTCCTCTCTTTTCATGTTGCTCCACAGTGGCGATACGACGGAAGCGGAACTGTGCCGGTTATTCAGCTCGTACGGCAACGTCAAGTCAACGAAAATCATCGTCGACCGGGCGGGCGTCAGCAAAGGCTACGGATTCGTGACGTTCGAGACCGAGCACGAAGCACAAAGACTGCAGAGCGATGTAAGTATGAAGGTACGGACCGAAAATCAAACGCCTAACAACGAGAACTCAAATGGTTCTGACCCCGCGCTCCCCCATTCGGGTTCGCACGCGTGGGTGTGTGTGTGTTTGTATATATGTGCGCTAAGACCACGCGACGAGCCCCGCGATAAGTATACAAACTTGAGAGGAAAAGTTTTCATTATTGCTAGTAGATTGCTGCTCTGTTGTTCTTTCCCAACTAATGTCCCGTATTGTTTGTGGAACAAGTCCGTTCAACCCCGTTACTACTGGTCCTCAATTTCCGTATCCCGATTAGTGCTTTTCCGTTGCTGTATATGTGCGTTAGTCTGTGTTTATAAGTTTGCCGTCTGAGTGTGGGCTGTTCAAGGTTTTAGGTCGTCTACGATGGGACCGCATCACTGAACCACAATCTGATGGAGACGCACGGTCGGCCAGAGATAAGCTTGAACATCCCTCCCCCAGCGGCGGTGTAGCGTTCGCTCTCCAAATTAATTGCAAATTATGTTAATGGACGGATTAAGTCCCGGAAAAGTTTGGATGCTTAATTTCGTTATCCCTTTTTCTTGTTTCTTTCCGTGCCGTGACCAACCTGAACACACGACATGTTCAATCTTCATCACCAACCACCTTCGTTCGTTTGGTTGCCGTTGCGGATTCGTTCATACTCACGCAAAAAAAAAAAAAAACAAACAAACAAAAATCGAAACCCCCGCAGGGAGACTGCATCGTGCTGAGGGATCGTAAGCTAAACATAGCACCAGCGATTAAAAAACAAGTAAGTTGGCACCAGAGTTTTTCTCCCAAACTTAGCTATTCCATTAATGTACGATGAAGTCCCGTATCCTCGCCTCCATGTTGAATAAACTAATTCGTTTTGAACCATTCTTCCCACCATACAGACAATCTGTGCAACGAACGGAGCCGTGTACTACGCAGCCACACCTCCCACGCCGACGATCAACAACATCCCCATCGAGCAGTTCGCGACAGCAGTCTATCCGCCAGGTGTGCCAACTATCTATCCTCCGACGATGCCCTACCAGCCGTTCTACCAGTACTACAGCGTACCAATGGTAAGAACGAACCGAAAATAGAAAGAAACCCAATCTATTCCGGATCTCCCGAATTTATTTTGTCTTGATTTCAGAATGTTCCGACTATTTGGCCTCAGAACTACCAAGGTATGTAAATTTTCGCCGTACACACATCTGAAGTTAGGAAGCGCAAAACAGAAAATGGCGAGCAGAACGCCGTTTTCAAATTAGTACGTACGAGCGAGAGCGAGCGAGAGAAAGATAGTGTGCAAACTCTGAAGAGCGCAGTAGGACGAATCGTGGCGAACGAAGCAGCCAACACTAGTTAATTAGTTGATCTTTTGTTAAAATTTGTAGTTTATAGTAGTGTGCATAACACTTTCTTCATCGATCAGTTCTCTCGGTTACAGTTGAGTTTTCCCTGTGTTCGCATAAGAAACGTTTGATTGAGCGCAAGAAGAAGACTATTCCTTTAAGCGGTTGCTTTTATTTATTACTGTTATGCCGGTTTTATTTAGGCAAATTTTGTTTTTAGAGAAAACGTTGCCAGAAGAGAATGTTGCGTTGCGGGACATGTGAAGACAATAAACGGAGAAAGGAGGCAGATTTGCGTGGGTCTAATACAAGATTGTTCACTGGAAAATTGATTTGGCGGAAGGATGAGGTTGAACACGCAGGTGTGTCTTGTAATTGTGAATTAATATTTAGTGCCAAGAAAACATGTGCAAACATGGGAAAAATCATTCAGTCGTACGAGCACCAACCACAGAAACAACTCACAGATTTCTGAACAAGTGTAAACAGTTTCGAAAAAGTGGATGGAGTTGTCAGTTGTAGAACTGAACAGGCGAGGAAGAATATGAAGAAAACTCTCTCTGTCGAGAGCAAACCCGTTTTGATGCGTGAAATCTGAGCGGTTGAGATTTGGATCAGTGATATTTGTTTCAATCGCTTTAGTTCATTGGCGTGATATTTCCCATTTATTTGCTGCAAAATAATAATTAGTTTGTCATGTATAAGATAAACAGATTTGAGATATTTGTAAAAGTTGTTGCTAATATCAAAACCTACGAAAGCTTCATACAGCATTTTACGGAATTCTGTTGATGATAATAGTTAGAGGCAAATGTCTGTTCATATGGTCCTCCAATTAGACTATCAAGAGTGAACTCCAAGACAAGCATGCCAAATTTTTTTGAGAGAAGTTTATAAAGATCACCATAGGACCTTGGTAGTCAACCAATACCTCCATAGTTGACCCTCAGGATCCCCTAAGATAAAGTTTATCCAGTCCGTATCATGTCAGGATTTGGTCGGCAATGTATCTAAGTTGAACTCATAAGGTATTTGCAGAAAATCCATCATGGTCTATCAACTTAACTTATCAGCCTTCTGGAGCTAGGCCAATCGATCAAGCCTTCAAAAAGGTTTCAAGAGGACTTAACTGAAAGCTGAATTTGAACGCATTTCCTACAACTCATACATTTTCCCTGGGAACATATACAAACTGCCGGTAATCGCAAGTCAGTCCCATCTGCATTTTTATCAATTTTGAGTTAGCATCATTATTCAGTTTATCTTTCTATGGTTTTTGAGATGTGCTATTGAAAAAAGGTGGTTTGTTCTAGAAAAATGAAAAACAATACCAAATCAAATTGACCCACAGCGAAAAGTAACCGCATGTCAGTCCCATTTAAAAAATAGGATTTCATCAAATAAACTATAAAATAACGTCAGAGATATGTTTTAAGGATTGCATCTATAGAATTAAAATTGTTAGACAACACATCGCATCATGATACTTGTCTCAAGATAGATATTGTCCACGTTCCCTAGGGTATCTAGAACATGTCCAGATGTGGCCAATATAGTTCTTACGATACTCAGTTTGACCGCCAATGGATATGGCTTTAAATTCTCATGTGATTTGATGTATCGCTTGAAAGATTTTGATTAAAAAAGGAGTTACCACTTCCCCGGGAATACCCGAAACATATCCGGGTGTGACCAACATGGTGCTGGTCACTCATCATGACTCGCATTGATCTTATGTTTGAATTGTCATGTGAATTGATTTATCGCATGGTGGGTTTGGCACGTTTGGCTCTGGTCTGATGAAGACCCATACTCACCGGAATATGTACCGGCCATTGCTCTGGAAGCAGCGGAACAAATTCAGAAACATACAATAACGTTCTATGGGACCATGGTATCTTTCTACTGTTCAATACTGTGCTAAACTAATGCAGCATCGTCATGGAATTGTGACTGACTTGCGGTTATTTTCTCATTGACGTTAAATGTAATCGCAAGTCAGTCCCACTCAGATTTTGGCCATAAAATTAAAATTTCACGAAATTTTATCGATTTTTTGGTGACTATAGATGCATTCTATCACATTGTACGTTTATTTTTAAATTTATCCCTCTAAAATAACTGTCAAATCAGAAAACTTGTAAAATCTTTGAAAACTGTTTTCTCATTTCCAGGTTTTTACAGATGGGACTGACTTGCGATTATGGGCAGCAACAAGATTGATTTTTTCCTAGCTCTCATAATTCTTCCAAGATCTCAGAACTTTCAGGAAGACCCTGATCATTTTTCTGCGAATATGCCTAAACATCTGGGCAGTTCTTTTAAATTAAACGAAATACCCAAAACTTCAACGAAGATCGGTGAGCTTCTGTGAAGCAAATCAAAGATAATCTTCTACGAAGTTCTCTAGAATGATACGAAAATTGCTGAAGTTCCAAAAAGTTTGCTACGGATTTCCGTTTTCCGTTTGCCGAGCTTATACGGAATTTTCTGACCTTTTACAAAATTTCAAGCACATTTATGAAGTTTAACGAAGTTTATCGAATTCCTACGTAATTCGATACACATCTACAAAGTTTGCTGCACTACTATGAAGTTTGTCGCACTTGTACGATTCCCTCAGATTTTTTTTAGGAATTTCGTTGATTTTCTGCGAAGGTCCCTGAAGATTCCTGAACATCTACGGATTTCTCTGAACTATTCCAAGTCCATTACACTTCAACAAAGTGTCCAAAAGTTAAAAGAAGGTCCCAAAGCGTTCATAAAGTTTCCTGTGCCTATACGGAGTTTGTCAAACTTGTATAATGATTCAACTTCTAGGAAGTTTTCCCGAGTTTGTATGAAGTTCCCCGAATTTCTACGACGTTGCCTGACTTTTACTGATGTTTCCTGAACATCATCAAAGTCCCTGAAGATTTGAAAAGTTCTTTGAAGCTAAAAATAGAACCTTAACTTCAAAGAAGTTTCTCGAATTTCTACAAAATTCGCTATATAATCAATATTTGCTGAACTACTTGAATATTATCTGCACTTCTACAAAGTTAGCTAAACTTCTATAAAATTTGCTGAACTACTTCAAAATTCTCTGCACGTCTACGAAGTTTGTTGAACTTCTACAAAGTCAGCTAAACTTTTACAAAATATGCTGCACTTCAAAAACAAATTTCAGAGTTTTTCCAAACTTCTACGAAGCTCCCTGAACGTTTATTAGTAGAGGGATTACTGCTCCTGTTATAAAGTTCTTTGTAATTAAACAAAGTTCTCTAAACTCCTTTTTTTCGAAGTTTCAGAACGTTCTACGAAGTTTTTTGACGATCTACGAAGCCTTCTGAAGATCTTCGAAGTTCCTTGTAGTTCTAAAACGTTCCCTGAACTTTTACAAAGTGCTCTGAAATCAAATGTCTTAACTTCTGCGAGTTTTCCTGGACTTCTGAGAAGTTCCCGGAGCTTAAAAACTCAGTTTTAAAGTATTGAACACCCTCACTAGATCGAAAATATTTAAAGTAGTGTTGAAGGCTTCTGAAACCATTTTATCGATCTCGTTGAAGATTCATGCTCTCATCGTAATTTACTGTGAAAAGAAAACGTGAGGAATGAAAATCAAGACGACTGGTGTCGCTTTAAAAAGGAACTGTCCAGAATGGTACGCCTTGATACCGAGTTTCGTTTCAGGTATTCCAATGTTATTCGTTTGGAATGCTTAAGGAATCATGTTTAAGAAAATAATGTAACGTTTAAGGACTCAATTATTTCTGGAAACTGAATTTCCATCATAATTAAAACAGAAATTAATTCTAAAATTGACTAAATTATTCTTTAAAAATTATGGAATCCTCTTCACAGGATCTAAGTAAATTTGTTGTTGAGTTCATAATCTGATTTTATAAAAAAAAATGATCATTCTTTTTTTTTTGGGGCACAGTGAGAATTGTTATGAAGTTTATAGAATTCGTTGAAAAAAAAACTGTAGAAATGAAGGCATTTCTTAACCAGTTTTTAAACATTCACATTTGTTTAATAGACTCATGGACTGCCAATCATCTTATATCAGTACCATATGGATTTTTGTAAATTTTGAGATAACAACGCTATTCACTATCGATTGGCATCTGCTTTCATGTGATGTGATTAAACTACGGACTTAGATCATGAAAAATGTGAAAACAACATCAAGTCATCCCATCAGTCCCATCAAGCAAAGTAATTGCACATCAGTACCATCCTTAACTTCAATCGTCCAGAGGTGACGTTACAGTTCTGATTTTCGAGCTGCTATATTTTTCGCTAATATAACCAAACATGCAAGCTTCAATGCAACTGATTTTAACTAGAAAAAACCACAAGGGACAGCGCTACGGTGTTGTACGCAATGGTGACGTAGGACTGCGTGGACTTATATAGTAAATCTTATTTGTTAACTGCAGCAGGAGCTTGTGTTTATACTCTTTAGTATGACGCGCTTGACATAGATGGCCCACAATGACTCACGAAGAGCTACTGATTCCGATCAATAGCTGTGCGGCTTCTTCCTCCTTCTATGGATGCTCATGTCGGCTGCAGCTCGCTGCTTGCAGGCAGCCTTTCGTTGTGTACTGGAGAACACCACCACTCAGCACGCGGTGGTTGAATAAACACCGTTTGGCCAGACCGGATGGAATTCAACTTTGAAATCTGTGTTAGGGAAACCGCTTTTCGTAGGCAATCGGTGATAATTTTCATTCGTGCAATTTTCAAAAGTGACATTTTGAAAAATGATAAAATCTTAAATTTAGCAGATGCGTCGAAATATTTCTGATCGATTGGCAATACAATTATTGAAATTGATCCAGGGGCAGCTGAGTTATTAACGTTCAAAATCTTTCATAATTTTGTTACATGTTCCATTGTTGGTTTTCACAAAGTGTACCCCCATATAGAAATCACAGACGTAGTCCTACGTCAAAATATTAAAAATTTACTATGATTTTATGGAAATCTAACTTCGTAGCTTTGACTGCCATTTTCTCAATGCCTTCTTTTTCCGTAAGGGACTTATATGGGATTATAGGCAGAGAAGCAAAGCAGTGATTTCCGCGAAATTTATCAAGCCCTCTTGAAATTTGCGTATCCTTAAAAATAATATTTGAAATTTTAAAGTGTTTCAACTTTAGACAGTTTTAAAATCACCTTTACAGGCTTAAAGTAAATTTTCCTGTTGTTGAGTTTATGAACTTTATTTTAAAGATTTATACCTATTTTTATAAAACGTGAATCTGATCATTAATTTTTTTAGGCACAGTGGAAATGTCAGAAAATTCACAGAATTCATTAAAAAAAACTGCAGATCGTGGAACGAGTTTCTAAACTAGTTTTCAAACTTTGATTTTTTGAAGGAATTCATGAGCTAAGCAGTTATTTCAGTGAAATTCATTATACTCTGAAATTCGCATATTATACAAAAAATAAATTAAAATTTTAAAATGTTGCATTTTGAATAAAGTTTCGAATTTCATTTTAGCTTTTCGAAACTTTAATGCTCATAATGCAGAACAGGAAAATTTCACGAATTCTATCATAAGTTTATTTGATTTTTTAAATATAAGCAACTTGACAGTCATTTAATTGTATTTGAATGTTTCATTCATGTTGTTTTGGTCCCTTTCTGGTAGAGACTTAGATTTTAGACTAGACCGTCCAGTAGACAAATCTAATTCTCTACTGCGACCTTTCAATGATTGCTTCAGTATGAAGATATGAAAAATTGACTGTATTATTTATCATTGCTCCGGAATTTGTTCAATATCCCGGGAAGTACCTAATAATGGCCGTTTTGAGAAATATAAATCAAATTCTAGGCTCTAAATATCTCAAATTATCAATCTGAAGCTTTTGAAAGGTGGCTGTGATCACTATTAGACACTTAAACACCCGGGATCGGTTTCAGCGGAGCTCCAATGAGGACACTTTCAGTTGCTCATCTAAATGTGCCATTCGATCTATCAAACATCATGATTTTCATAAAGAAATTTTTTGACATAAAGAAGGCTATTCTGCGCCGCGAATGAGGTGAGGTGACTCACTGTCACTAGTGAGGTGACTCTCCAGTTGAGTTGCACGGAGAGTCACCTCACTAGTGACAGCGAGTCACCTTACTTCATTCGCGGCGCAGAATAAGGGGCAATGCCAAGATCCGATGGATGGAAAAGAGTACATTCGTATGCCTTCGAAACCAACCAAATCATCCAACAAACATTGAAAGCTGAATAAGAGCTTATTCGGGTATAAATATCTTCTCCGGGTAAAATATAGCTAATTAGCCATTATTCAGCTCAAATTGTTTAAGCTGATGATCTAGAACTGTTCAACAATTCAAATCATGTCGCTCAACTATTATTTCATGATACCAGGTTGCTCAGAAATTATTCAAAAGATCTTCAGGATTTTAAAGAGCTTAAGGAAGTCTTCTGAAGATTTTTCCAAGATTTGAGAATGAAAAGGTATTAGCTTGAAGATCTAGAGCTGTTTAACAATTAAAATCACGTCTCTAAGATATTCTTGCATGATAGCAGTTCAAAAAGAAATTTTCCCCGAGACCTTCAGGCTACAAAGGTCTTAATAAGATTCTCTTGATATTTTTACGAGACTTCAGGACGATCAGGTACAATTCTAAAGATCTATAACTGTTCAACAATTCAAATCACGTCTCTCAGATATTCTTTCACGATATCAGGTTGCTCAAAAATTATGCCATAGAACCTTTGGATGTTTTTCCATGACTTCAGGATGATCAGGCATAATCATAAGAAGTTAAGCGAACCTAAAAACGAACTTTTGTAACAAGATCCAGGAAAGATTCCAGGTTAAATTCTGACAATTCTTGATGAGCTTTGATGAGTAGTAACATGGCACTGGCTTTTATTTACTATGTCGAAAACGACCAAGGTGAGACGGAAGTTTTTGGTTTACTCGTTTTCTCTAATCCACGTAAGGGATAAAATTGAACCTCAGACGACACCGTCTTCTCGCCTTGGTCCCACGGATCATCGTCAGATTCGTTTGTGGAACGCCAGCTTGCAGTGCGGCACTTGATACGGCAGAATCCAAACTCCTTGCAAAGGTCAAGCAGGTCGAAGTGGTCAAGCATTTTATTGTTTTTGCTGGAGCTAGAGTAAAAAAAAAATACTTCCCCCTACCCGATGGTGCTGTTGGTTTACGTAAGCAGCCTAAGATTTGCGAGGAAAGGGCTTTAAGCCCTTTTCTATTGTTGCTCCAGAAATAATCTGGAACAATAACAACTGTTTTGCCGGGACTGAATACACTCACACATAGATACTCTCAACACACAATACGAGAGAGAATGGTTGCGTGCTTTAATAGTTTAATCCTCTATTGGTGCTTACCGAATCGAGGATTAAGATTTAATCCACATTTTCGAAAATCTGGGCTAAATCGCGTACTATCCTCGATGGAGATTACCGCTATAAATGTCCCAATCAACCTATCAAAATTCCTCATGTTTGATAGTATCGTGAAGACTAATTAACATTCAGAATACAGAGCTCTCTTATGGACCTAAGTGTTCCGAAAATTAGTTAATGGATAAAGAAAAACCTTTAAGGACTGTGAAAATTATTTAATTATTACTGACCTTGATTAAGATCACCATTTTTTCCTTCGTCATTTCAAAAGTTGAAGAAACAAAAAGTCTTTATACACTTTCCAAAGCTTCTCAATACCAGCCAGGATTTAGATATGGTTCCTGGTATACTGTATTTCTATCAAATACCCTTAACGAAGCAGGCATAGTCATAGCAGAAAATTATTCAACCTTTCTCAAAAAGAATTTTCCAGTGAGCAATCAACTATTAAACCCAATTGAAGGGTGAAGGTACCTGCTTTGGTAAACTGGAACGGTTCATAGTTACTATTCTAACAAAGCAAATACATTCGACCGTAACCCCAGGTTACCCGAGCAAGAACCTCATGAGAAAAAAAAAACTAATTGCCATTCAAACCAGTTCACACACTAGACCGAAACTGAACAGCAAAATCACGCATCATTCACACCAACTTCTTTTTCCTTTTTATTTTTCTCTTTTTTGTCCTGTGATCGTCGCTTTCTTTTACAGGAATCTACCCTTGTTAAAAGAATTATAAGGAATACACGAAGAGCAAATCTAGCAAAAACAAAAAAAAACAGAATCTTATTTATTATCATGAGTAATATTTATACAACAGCAACAGTTCAGAGCAGATCGGCAAGAAAATGAATCAAACGGAAAAGAAAGCATAAGAGGAAAACTCACTCATACACACGCGACTACTGATATACTACTACCTACTGAACTAAACAAGTAAACAGGAGAAGAGAGAAATCCATTAGCATAATGATTAACCCTAATAAAGAAGGCAGAGAAGAAGAAAAAAATGCAATAAATAGCAAATGGCTGCTGCGAGCAAGCAAGTATATAATTAGCGCAAACCGACGGGAATCGTCTCTACGACATCATCCAAGTGTATGTGTGCGGTGGCAAAGGATTTGGCACGGAGGAAGGGAAAGAACCCGCAACCGACAGCAGTAGGAGGCTAACATCGAATAATTTATCTTAATACGATATTTATACACAATAACTAAAAAAAAAAACAACATTCTTGCGATTGAGGAGCGAACGGTGTGATCCAACGTGACAGGATGTTCGTCCGGTGGTGCAGATCACTGGAATTGAAACATCACTTTGATTGGAATGTCATCCGCGCAGAGGCGACATCGAGCTGCAACGGCTGCAACATGATGGGATGATGCGAGCTGACAAACAAAACAAACAAACAAACAAACATAAAAAGACAGATTCCGCTTGAGATGTGCGAATGGGAAAGCGATTGCAACGGTACATGTAATCGGGATGGGTTTCACCCATTGCCGAATGTTGAAACTCTTTTTTACTTTTTAAAGTAAACCATTGTTGAGCGATATTATCATTATTATTAGTGATCATATTAACTAATTAACAACTATTTGTAGCGTAATGATGAGAAAGAGAAGCGAGGACGGTGAAAGGTCCGCAACGGCAGAGACAGCAGGACAGCAAACCGAGTCAGCTGAATTGTGAGACAGTATGTGAAATAAATGCAAATATATACCAAACACTTCTGATCCGCGAGTGGTGCAGTAAGTGGAGGCATAATTATATTTGAGTAAGGAATACGCAAATATTTATAAATACAAAATGCAGAAAATCCATATACTTATACATAGAATATATATACAAGCGTACAGTAATAAATGCAAAAAAACAACAACTGATAACAGAGAGGAGTACTACAAATCATCACATTACATAAGCATAAACACATACGAACATTCACACACACACACACACACAAAAGTGCACACTCTACTTTAGAAACGGTTTTAGGGTACTAATAGCTAAAAACACACTATCCCGTACCTACTTGAAGGAAGGACATCTCCGATAGTGCCGGTACAGTAGTGAACTAAGTGCAGTCAATATGCACACATACACAAACACATACACACACGATCACACACTTTGGCGTCACCGCCGTCGTCGTAGTTATCGGGAAAGATGAGAACTAGGAAAAGAAAGCATAAAACAAATCCGACAGAGAAGTAGGGAAAAAGTTGGGCGAAAGCAATACAAAGTAATCATGTGATGGGTTCGTTCGACGAGAGTGGGAGTAATGTCACTTACTGGTAACTGCTGCTGCTGCTACTGCCGCTGCCATCGTGTGCCGTGTAAGCGCGAGGGGTGCACCCATAATCTATCAAACTTTCCGACCGTTTCGATTGATTGGATGGGATTACAAAGTTGATAATGATGCGGAAGCGGATTTCGGTGCTCGATGGTGTTGGTGCGGTGGGATAAGCGTACGAGTGAGTGTGGGGATTTTGTACTTCCGTGGGTGGCTTTACGCTTAATCCGGTGGGTAATTTTCGAACATTTTTAGGTTTGGGTTGATTTCGTAAAACATTAATTCAGGGTAAGGACATGAAAAAAATCGAATGGGAACTTTCAGTCAAATTCGTAGGCGATTTCACTGGAACTTATTGAAAAACTGAAGGCAATCATTATGTTTCCATTTAGTATTATAATTATACATTTAGTTGTGGATTTTTTTAGATGCTTCGGAACAATCCTATCGAATATTTTGAATTAATTTGGTTTAATTTCTCAAGCAAATTCCATGAAGAAATTAATTGTAATGAAAATTGCTTTTAAGCAGCGAGTCACAACTATGAAAATTTTGATATAATTATGTGAAGCGGTCAACCAAAAATTTATAATGAGCTTCCAGAACGATAAACTTTGGATTTAAAAAAAAAAGTGGTCTGGGATCTTAAATAATTAACAGCATGATAAATATCAAAGGATTTGGATATTTTAAAATCACTGTTTGAAGGAATTTTTAATCAATGTCAAGGTTAAGTATGGTACAATTGCTTATGGAACTGCAGATAGAAACTTCTTTATTAGAGAAATGCAGATCAGGCATCTGGGGTAAAATGGAACCTGTTGACGCTGTACACGCCTATTTTACCCTTATTTCAAGGATTTTCCCAACCAGCATTTCTAGTTGTTTTAAATAGCAAAGTTTCATCATAAATTAACGTAGAAATTGGAAACAAACTCCATAAAAGTTTGCACTACATCGCTTTACTCCAGGAATGCATTTGACCTCATGTTCTCCTACAACAATATTGGAAAAATTTGATGAGAATTTGTTTGATCTTTTCCGTGATTTACCCCAATAAGAGTTCAAAGAAAACTTCGACCGAATATCCAATACATGCTCTAAAAGCAATTCTGAAAGGGCTCTTTAAGGTGATACGAGACATACTCTACGGCCTTGATGGCTGACTTGCACTATAACGAACCGGTCAGCACTTGTTTTTTTTTTTTCAGTTGCCGTGGGGACATCATATGTGATTAGCCCTGGTCCCTTTCAAATTGTCTCATTATTTTTAATCGACCCTTATAATTTTCATTGCCGATAGATGTCAAAATGACGTATCACATCTAGTGGTGTCCGATTTATATTCGAACAATCGATTAAACCATTAACGAACCGAAAAATCAATTATATTTAATCGGTTATATCATGTCAAGTAAGCAATAACTTCTCCAGAGGATCATCACGAATCGTTTAAAAAATGTTCTGCACTCTCATTGGTGGAGAAATTACTTCACAGCGAACAGGAAAAAAAACCGATTGATTATTAATCGAGTAATTAAAAAATGGGAAATCTCTGATTTTTGGTGTGATTGTTTTGGAAAAAAAACGCACAAAATTTCAACTATAATGAGAATGGATGAAAAGGACCGTAAAAAAGGCCAATACAATAGCTTTATAAAATTATAATAGTTTCATCTTAGCATTCTTCTTTGCTATATTTTTAAATTTTCTAGATGAGAAATCTCGGCCACTATTGCGACTTTAACGCATGAACTTTGCTTCACTGCAGAAAATGTGAGGAAACAGTTTTTTTTTTTTTTTTTCATTGTATGCTCTCTGATACCTGGAGGCAGAGCGTAACATTATTGACTGCTTACTCGGGCAAAGCTTGAGATCAAATTGAAATCAAATTTTGCTGTTATGATGTTTTGGTTGACTTAACGGTTAACACAGCAAAAATCAGAGCAGAACTTTACACTGTTGAATCAAACGGAAAACTAAGTCTGCTTTCAATAAAATCAATTTGATTTCTGATTTTGCATTCATAATGTTTAACTGAATACGGGCCTGGCGTAAATGGTTTTCATGCATGCTTCTCATGCTGAAAGACTTCAGCTTAAATCTCACCCCGGGCAAGTTTCGAATGACCAAAAATGTGTTAAACAAAACAAATAAAGAATAATCAACGACAGATGAACTTAAATTAAATTTTTAACAAGACGTTAACAGCAGAACTTCAAGCTAAGTAGCTTTCATTTAAAAAGGTTTGAATGCATAATGAAAGCACAATATGATATCAGACTTATGTCTCAACAATTGGAATCACAATAAGTTTTCATTATGATAGGAACTGCAAACTTCAATATCGATTTGCTTTCATTTGGTTAACCGACTTTGCACGGGTAGGCTGAGTGTGAAAGCACTGCACTATTAAATTCATTGTTCTGTGCAGACCGTTTGTACCGAACGGTAAAGGATGAGGCAATGAAAGAGCCAACAAAAACATTCAGTCACTCACGAACAGGCGACTCACACCGCTTGCCTTCGCTCACACACCATGTACTTGAGGCATTTTTCCATAGAAAATGTACGCTCAATCATTCAAAACAAGGGTTGGGTACCATCACGGAAGAATAAACGTGCTGACTCTGCTGACTGAGCTACTGACTGAGTGTTTGGCTGTCAGTGACTCGTTTACTTCTTTATCCTTCAGACTTTCACGAGACAGGGAATGATGAGGCAGATGGTAGTTCATATTCCAGGGTGGCCAGCAAACCGGGAAAACCGGGAATACCGGGAAATATCCGGGAATTTGAAAAGTAACCGGGAAAACCGGGAAAACCCCGGGAATTCGACGAGAGAACCGGGAAAATAAATTAACCATACCATAGAAACAAATTTTTACACCAAATTTCAGAATAAACCATTAAAAAAGAGTGATCCTTTATCAAATGAATGTCTTACTCTATTTGCTGCATAATTTTCTTATTCGTTTTATTGTTTTTAGAATTAATCACTCAGCAATATTGCAAATTGATTTTTGTCGTCTCAATTTCAGATGTAAAGTACATGGTCCTTAAAAGAAAATATTGAAGATGTTGGACTTTGGATACAAATATGTATTTGTAGAAACCGAAACTGAATCATTCTTTTCCGGGGTTTTAATTTTTCGTTGTTCAAAATTCTCATGTCATGAATTCCAGAATTGACTTGGAATTATGTTCTGAATTACCTTGAAATTGTTCTGAAATAAACCAGAAAACACTCCGCGTAATAATTACCGCTGAATTATTTTTGGAACTACCTTGCAACCGCTTCTAAGAATTTAATTAGAATCATTCTTAGAATTCCCTTGAGCCTATCCGGAGACTTTGATTCCTTTGAAAATCTTTTCAAAAATTTCTTTTAAGGTGATACTCTAAGGAAGCCTTAGCGTGAAACTTCAAAGGCACAAATGTCATCTTCTACAAAACATACAATTAAGAAATTGGTACTCTCTGTTTGTAGTAGCACAGCAAACAAGAAGTAGCAATTTCAAATTTGTATGTTTTGTGGAAGCTGACATTTGTGCCTTTGAAGTTTCACGCTAAGGCTTCCTTAGAGTATCACCTTAATTCTATTCAAAACAGCAGAAATCTTTCGAAATTTTATTTAGAAACCCCTTGGAGTATTTTAAAGAATTTCTTTCTAATTATCAGCAATTTTTTTGCAATCAATTTTGTTGGAGCTCTGTGATGAATCTTTCGCACTAGGGTTGAAATTATTGTCAGAACATTCTAAGAACTCTGTTTCTTGTTGAATTCTGATCATAATTCTCTTGGCATTCTTCTTAAAATTCATCTGTCATTTTCCTCACGATCCCCATACAAATCTCCTCAGAATCACTTAGCAATTTTAATCAAAGTTTTGTTTTTCACAACTCCTTTTTAAATTTTCCAAAATAAAAATACC